GAGTCGGGGCGGGGGAGAGGTGAGAAGTCGGGGGCAGGGGGGAGGGAGGTGTGGAGTCGATAGGGAGTAAAGGGTCGGGGGTATGAGAGGTCGCTGGAGGGATGAGGGGTCGCACACACAGTAAAATAATGATATGAAGTCACAACGAATCATGTGCTTTCGTCGAGAAAGCTGTTTTAAAAACATTAATAATATTATGTGCTACAGAAATTCACATCTAACCCCAAAGCAGAACCCATGACAGTCTCGGGCTAGGCATTGAGGGGGTTAAAGGAGCCTTCATAGAGATACATCTTTCTGTAAAACCCAGTTTTAGTGAGAGTTTTACGGCACTTGCAACACAAAAAGGTCATATATATGCGGAAGAATAGAGGTTTGACAAGAGAATAGCAAATACCAAAAAGGAGGAGAGAGATATGGATGATAGATGTTTGATAGGAAAGAACAAGTAGACCACACCAGAGCACCCGCCAACCACCCACCTATACCCACGACTATTCATAAAGTATTAGTTGTATCTAACAGTAGATTACATATTTGTAAATAAGCAAAGGTACCATTGTATCAGATTTAGTTCTCCGAATAAAAGTACATGTAGAATTGAATTAATTGTAGTGTAATAGACGCCTAGATCTAGACTTAGTAGTTTTTTTCAAGATATCATTGTATCCAAGACTTTGATCACCGAAGAAAAGTACAAGGGCATGAAGAATTCAATTAATTGTGCTATAGAGAGGACTTCCGTATTATAGTTGTAGGGGTTTTTGTTTGTTTATTTGTTTGTTTAGACACACGAAACTGCGAAATCCACTTACCGTTTCTTATCACAGCTTGCTACTCACTTGTCGAAACCTACGACGTGATTTGACAACTGAATCGAGAGTCGCCATCCCACAGGACTGTGTCTCTGCTTTTGTTGTTTGTTTGTTCGATTGTTCGTTCGTTCGTTTGTTTATCAATGTTATGCACAAAGCGGACAAAGCATGCGGAGGATTTTTTTTTCTTTTGCTGTTCTCTATTCTCTCCTTCAAGTAGATTTTTTAAGTCCTTGATGTGAGGCCTGTTCCTCAGTGGTGCATACACTCTGTTGAGGGAGTTTCACGATTAGAATTCAAACATAATTTGCCGATAGACGGCACCAAGTGAATCCATCTCCTCCTCCTCCTGTTCCTCCTGCTCCCCCCTCCTCCTCCTACTCCTCCTCCTCCTCCGTTTCATCGTCGTCGTCATCGTGGTCTTCCTCTTCCCCCTCATTCTCCTCCTCCTCCTTCTCCTTCTCTCCTTCTCCTCTCTCATCCTCCTCCTCCAGCTACCAAGAGAGCACATTAATAAGCCGAAAAAGATATCCCCATAATTCTCAGTTCCGGGCCACATAATTCTCCTGCTCACCATTATATATCAATCCGAATCTTTATAAGTCAGTCTAAAAGACTCTTTTCTATATTATTAGGATCTTTATGAGAACTCGTCTCCTCTCTCCTTGAGGAATCCAGAGTATTCCAGATCTTGGTTTTTCTTTTGAAATTCTTACGTACCGGGTCCGATCCACTTCAGATGTATCTTTCGTACACCAGGCAACTAGTGTAACACGAAGATTTTACTAGAAAATATCTCGTTTATTTATACAATTTTCTCTGATCCAGCGGTCATATGAGTTCAAGCTCTTCGACCTGAGGATGAGAGAGCTAGAGACATCATCATCATCGTCATCATCTCACCCTGCACTAAGGTATAGGCCTTGGACAAACATTTTCCACCTTTCTCTATCCTGGGCTAGCCTCTTGATGCTCTTCCATGTCTTCCTACTTTTTATTAATCAATTTCTGTTATTCTTCTCCAGGTTTCACACGGTCTTCCTCTTGATCTTTTACCTTGTGGATTTCAATCCAACATTTTCCTTGTTATGCAGCTGCCTGACTTTCAGGAGAGTGTGTCCTATCCACCGCCACCGCTTTCTTCCCACCTCATCTGTAACTAGGATCTGTCTTGTTTTCCTTAACACTTCCTCAATGGTGACCTTGTCTGTCCCCAGAAACTTTCTTAGATATTTGTTCAAGAAAACCTGGATCCTCTTTATACAAGTCTGAGATGTTTTGACCAAATCTACAAAATTATTCTCATGAGATCAAAGGGCTTCTAAGCCCTGCTTTGAAATATTGTTAAATAGTAGCAATTCTTCTACAGGGACTAGCAAACTCCTGTTTGTACTGCAGAAGACTTAAAAAGTGACATGCAGCAAAAAAATCCACTTGCAAGCAGCTTAAACAGCGTCCTTGTTTGCTGAACAGACCCTTGCTTATGAAGAAACTAGCACACAAAAATTGCAAAGGTAATACATGAAACACACGTTTTTCGATCCAATGCCTCGTGAAACGCCCCTTTCCCCTCACCATACACACACACACACACACACACACACACACACACACACACACAAACACATACACACACATACGAACGCACATACACCAACATTTTAAATATATTACCTGCACACACAAATATTATAATTTCTCTCTCTCTCT